TGCCCAAGGTCAATTCTCCCTTCCACAGGGCCTTAGAGATAGTTCTGCCAGACTTCTATCCACAGCCCTCCAGGGATAGAAAAAGATCTTGGCACAGGTTGGACGTCAGAAGAGCCTTTCACATCTATCTAAAGCACACGGCGCCATTTAGGCTTCAGAGGCCCTCTTTGTATCCTTTCAGCCGTCCACCCGGGAAGTCAAGGTTTCCCTGGCCACCATTAGCAGGTAGAACAGAGCGGCCATCTCACAGGCCTACGAGGCACGGGGACTTCAGGTCCCAGAGGGCATCACAGTGCACTCCACCAGAAGTGCGGCCACCTCAGCAGCCTGGGCCACCCAGGCTCCCATAGAGATCTGCTGGGCTGCCGCCTGGTCTTCTCCCTCACCTTTCATTAGACATTACCAGCTAGACACTTACGCCTCCGCGGAAGCAGCCTTTGGTAGGAGGGTTCTGCAGGAAGTCCTAGACTTTTGAGGGGCTCAGGCCCGTTGATCCCTCCCAAGGACATCTAGCTTTGGTATGTCCCATGTTACTCCTCACACGCCTCACTTCGGAAACTGGCAGTTGGTCTTACCTGAACTGCATGTTTAGAAGAAGGCGTGGGAGGAGTCACTTCCCCCCCTTTGTAGGGTGCCCCGCGCCAGGGGCCTGAGTTAGTTCAGTGGTCAGGCAGGGCCAGGCAGGAAGGATGTGTGCTTGTGCTGTTTTCTGTCCCTTCCTTCCAGGTGCTCTGCTACGAACCATCAGTTAATCTGGGAGGTCAGCAGGAGGATAGGAAGTGTGGACTCAAGATTTACCTCAGTCTCCAGGGCAAAAGGGCTGGGTTAATACCCATATGTTACTCCTCTCACGTCTTCTTCTAAACATGCAGTTCAGGTAAGACCAACTGCCATTTCTTCCTTTTCTTTATCTTAAGTGTCTGTCTATCCTTCTCAGCACATTCTAATATTTTTTTAATTACACTTTCATCTGCCGGGACTTCATCATTTTTCCATTCTTGTGAAAACACTATTCTTGCTGCCATTAGTACATGCAGAATTAAGTATGTGTTCCCTTTATTATAATGTTCTGGTAATAATAATCCAGCAGAAATAGTTCTGGTTTCAAATCTATGTGTTGCCTTATCATTTTTTCTAACCAAGTATTTTAGTCCAATATTTTTTGCCTTTGGACATATCCACCAATATGAACCTGGTGTCTGATTACACTTCCAACATTTAGCTGATAGATTTTCAAACATTTTAATGCTCAATATGTAGCTATACATTTTTTAAATTAATTTTTCATCTGTCCCTTGAGCAAGGGGTTGGACTAGAAGATCTCTGAGGCCCCTTCCAACTCTATTATTCTATGTTCTATGTTCTAATAAAATGGTGGACAAGGAGATATTTGTTTCTAGCAGACTTGGCATTAGCAGCAGTCAAAGCAAAGAACCCAGCATGCTTGCTCCCAAGTTATGGCAAAGAGGAGATAAAGATTAGCCTCAAATGTCCTTTCTGATCATCTGATAGAAGTCAAAAAACAATTAAACATGGCTACAGATTGGACACTTCTGGTCGAAAGTCATGAATATTGGCCCTAAATGTGCCTTGGTTGATCATTTATTTATTACTTAATACAAGTTGTATGCTGCTCCATTTCCGGAAACTTTGAGTAGCTTATCATAATACATAAAAAAAACAAATTATTATAGTCGATCATTGAGATTTGTGACTTTTACATGATGACAATTTTTTAATTCATTATGTGCCGTCAAGATGCTGCTGAATCTTAACAACCACATAGACATTTTTTCAGAATAATCTGTCTCTAACCTAGTCCAGCAGGACCACCACTGAACTGAATCCACGCACTTTCCATCTGACTGCTCTCTTCTTTTTCCTTCCACCTTTCCCAGCATGAGCCTCCTCCAGAGATTTAGGTCTTTGTATATTTAATGTGTCCCAAACAAGATAATTTGATTTTAGTCATTTGATCCATTTGACAATCCACTTGTTTGTTTTACTATATCTAGGGATAGGTTTCTCTAAAGAAGGGGGCAATAACTGAACAAGGTTCCTGAAGAAGATATTCTCCAATGGTGGGACCCCCAGAAAGCTGTCCCCAAAGATTTATGCTTTTCCATAACTAATATTTTTATTTTGAATGTTTCCCTGTAATTTTCTAAATAGTGATCATATGACACCGGGGCACTGCAAACATTATAAATGTAGGCCAGATGCCAAGAAACCAAATTTTGTTGACATGACAGTGAGGTTAGGGTGGGGATGCTGCATCAATTTTAAGTGTGACAACTGTTGTTAAGTCACATTTTTTCAGTGACTTTGTAATTCTGAACGGTCACTATGGTCGTAAGTCTATCTATATTATGTTTGAATAGGTGCATTAAAATGTATATAAAATCTTGCAACAAAGTTCTAAAAGTATTAGAAATAGATTAGATATTATAAAAATCATATTGTCTGCAAATACATTCGGAGAATAATGCCTGTTTTGTACCATTAACCTTGCAATAATTTCAGTCCTGGACGTATTTGACAGTGGTGAATTTATTGAGTTCTTTAAAAACACAAGGCCATACACTGTGCAACATACATTATGCTGGCTGCCCTGTTCAGGTTAGAAGCCTCAGTACAGTTTGCTCTCAAAGAAGCATGGCCCACTAAAAATGGTTGGAAAAGGGACTCCCTTTCCTCTCTGTCAATGTAATAAGAGTCCTCAGAGCGTGACTGACCAGAGCTCGCCACAAGGACATCCTGCAAGGACATCCCACTTGGGCTAAAAGCTTGTTACAGACGCTCACACAAACTGCCTGCCAGAGAAAAGCAGCTGAGCAGAAATGCTTTCTGTTCCCTCCTCTACTTCCCTTCAGCAGTCCCTTTGACCAGGCTTGCCTTGCCTTTCGGGTAGCCATTTCATGGAAGTGCACACAGAGCAGCTGGATATGTAAACCTCTGTGTCAATGTTGGCAAACCTTTTCGCACCAAGTGCCGAAATGGGAGCCTGTGCCGGAAACTGGAAGAGCAGCCGCCCAGTCGCATGCATGCTCTTCATGCATGTGCGTACCAGAATCCAGATGATCATCTTCCTGCCACGCACATGTGCATAGGACGGCTGCTCTTCCAGGTCCCGGCACATATTCCCATTTTGGCACTTGGTGCCGAAAAGGTTTGCCAACATTGACCAGCTGTCCCATGTGCACTTCCATGAAATGGCTACCCGGAAGCTCCCTGGTTTATTGCAACAGGTGGCCAATCCGATGAAACGCTGGGAAGAGATCTCTATGGACTTTATTGTGGACTTGCCAGAAAGCATGGGA